AAAAAAAAGAAAAAGAAAGCAAAGGAAAGGACACAAGGACACCCCCGCGCACCCCTAGAAATCCTCTCAGCTCATCTCAGGAACCAGAGGACTGCAAAGGCTTCAGACGCTCCCAGCGCAGGAAAAGGTGGAAAATCCGGAAAATCCTTCTGCTACTTTCGAATTTTTGAGGTTTTTCCATCACACATCTCCCTCCTCCCGCCTCCCCCCCACCTCCCCCAAGATAAATTTGGCCCCCGAAGATTCTCATCCCTCGCCGGAGCTTTGCCTGTTGGGGTGACCCCTCGGAGTGACCCCGGGATCCCGCCGCGATGGAGGATTTGTGTCGCCACTGTCGCGACAGGAGGAGTGCCTGTCCCCAGCGGAGCTCGGCCCTGGCTCCGAAATCCACGGGATTTTGGGGATCACGGACACTTTTCTGGGGGTCACGGACACTTTTTTTGGGGGGTCACGGACACTCCCCGGGAGCAAAGCAGGACCCTCATCCCGGCCGGAATCACCCGGGACGATGCTCAGACCAGAAGGTGGTGATTTAAAATTAAATTTAAATTAAAAAAAAAAAAAAAAAATCGGGTTGGGGGTAGGGAGGGAAATATTTTAATATTTAAGCGGTTCAGGAATGGATTTAAGTTATTGTTTGAAGAGAAAAACTCGTGTTCATCTCCGTTTTCTGGCTGTGCCTCCAGTTGTGCGTAAAGGAATGGCGAAAATGCCTTTTTTTTTTTTTTTAGGAAATCGACGACTTATTTTAAAGGAAAAAAAAAATATAACCGAGCTCTTTCCTATTTTTTAAGAGAATAATGCTATTTTTTTAAGCAGAAAGTGCCGTTTTAAGGAGTGTTCATAGTGTTGTACAGTCCCGGGGATTTATTTATGTTGCCTTCTATAAATAGGGGTGTTTTGGGGGGGAAAAAAAAAAAAAAAAGGGAGTGTACATAAGGTTCGTTTGTATAAAGTTGTTCCAAACCAAACTGGTTTCAGTCTGGGGTTTGTTTTTTGGGTTTTTTTTTTTTTTTTGTTTTTGTTTTTTTTTTGTCTATAAAGTTTTTTTATTTTTTCCTAAGGAAAATCCCTCCCGGTTGATGGGAACCCCCTCGGGTGTCCCCGAGTGTCCTTTGCTCCTTCCCCGGGGACCCAAAGCCGGGCTGGAAATGTTCATTAATTAAAGTTCTGCATTTAAAGCTCCGAACACCGGGTTTTTTTTTTTTTTCCCTCCCGCTTTCAGGAGGTTTTTAGGGAGCAGGATTTTGGGTTTTTTCCACCTCGGGAAATGTGGATTTAAACCTTCTGTGACTCGCGACACATTTTTTTGGGAGGGACAGCCGGGCGTGGGGTGGCACCGGGTGATGTCGCCTCACCCCAAACCCCACTTTGTGCTGCTGAGAGGGAATTTGGGGCAGCAAAAGGAATTTTTTCCCGGTTTTCAGAGTATTCCCCAAACGGCCGCGGGACCCTGGAGCTTCCCTTACTGGGACCAGTGAGCTCCCAGCCCTGCAGACTGGGAGGGCGCCTGCGCTGCCCCGATGTCCCTTTTGGGGACACCGAGGCTGGGGACAGCACCGAACCCTCCCCAAGATCCCAAAATCCCACAGGATCCGCCCATCCCCGGCAGCGCTGTGGGGTCGGGGAGGTTTGGTTTCACTTGTTAATTTTTTTTTTTTAATTAATTTTTTTTTTTTTTTTTTCATTTAGAGGAGGAGGAGGGAAAATAAAACCCGCGAGCAGGCGGCGGGGTTACATATCCAGGGATTATGTAAATGCCGCATTGCCCTCGGCCAGGAGCGATCCCCGCTCCCTCCCAGCATCGGGAAGGGCTCCGGGAAAAGCTTTGGGATCGTGGAGCTCCCCCAGCCCCCCTGTCCCATCTCCCCAGGGTCCCCCAGGGTCCTGTCCCCCTTTTGTCCCCCCTCATCCCCAGCTCCTCCCGCTGATCTCGCTGCCCGGATGTGGCTGAGAACCCCCCAGAAACCCCAAAAAATGGGATGTGGGACCCCGAGATCCCTCCTGGGAGCGGGCTCGGTGTGCTGGAACAGCCTGGAAAATGGAAATGGGAACGGGAACGGGAATGGGAGCCAGGACCAGGGTCCCCACAGGGGTGGGGACATCCTCCCACTGTCCCCAGCATCCCTGACCTGTGCTGGCACAGGCACATAACGACCTTTCCTCGTCATCCCAGTTGTCCCAGTTGTCCCAGTTATCCCAGTTGTCCCAGTTACCCCTGAAGGGGACGGCCCGGACAGCGCCGGGATGGCAGCACCGGGGGTGACAGGGCTGGGGGAGGTGACAGTGCCGGGAGGTGACACTGCGGGGGTGACCCTGCCGGGGGTGGCAGCGTTGGGGGTGACACTGAGGGGGTGGCACTGAGGGGGTGGCAGTGTCCACGTCCCACCGCTGTCACCCTGGGCCCAGCAGAGCCCTCCCAGCGCGCTCCTGCCCCGTTGCGACACCTGCAGCCCTTGCGTCACCCGGTGCCAGCCCCGGGAGCGGGGGCAGCGCCCGCCCACGGCCCGGCCTGGCAGCCCCAGCCCCGGAGCCCGGCCCGGCCCAGCCTCGGCTCACCCGGAGTCACGGCCGGGATGGCTCTGTCCCCACCTGTCCCCATCCCCCCTCTGGGGGTGCCCTGCTGGGGACACGGAGGTGACACCGCGGCCCTGACTCCGAGCTCCAGGATGGGAAATTCTCCCCTTGCCCAGAGCTGTGCAAAGCGAACCCTCGGTGGGGAGGGTGGGCTCCATCCCTCCGGGAAAATCCCACCGGGAATTCACCCATCCCAGGCCTGGCTGTGGATCCCGGGCAGCCTCAGACCCTGGGCCCCACATCCCCCGGTGGGGACAGCAGGGGACACCCGTCCTGTGGGATCAGCACCCCAAAACCTGTGGGATCAAGCACCCTAAACCCCTTGGGATCAGCACCCCGAACCCTTTGGCATCAGCACCCTAAACCCCTTGGGACCAGCACCCCAAACCCTGTGGGATCAGCACCCTAAACTCTTTGGGATCAGCACCCCAAAGCCCTCGGCTGTGGGATCAGAATTCCCAGAGGGGGCGGGAATGGGGACACGGGGGTCCCCAGTGCCACCAGCCCCAGTGCCAGGCTCTGACCTCCATGCCAGCCCCGCTCCCGGTGCTGGGTAACCCCGGACCCGTGGGATGCTGAAGGCGTGAAACCAAAACCGCTCCAGAAAGGGGCAGGAAGGGACCCTTGGAGCAGGGGAACCGCGGGGTGGGAACATCGGGGACGAGGATCACGGGATGTTGGTGCTGGGGGGTCCCAGTGGGGTCTCAGCCCCACTGAAGGTGACAAACACCCAGCAGGATCGGGAGAAGCGGGGAGTAATGACTTGGGAAGAGAAGGGAAAGGCAGGGATTTGTTTTCCAGCCCGGGCTCTGGAAGCACAAAACCAAACCTGCAGAGGGGAATCAGCTCCTGCCCCAAAACACCCTCCTCGCTCCCAGGGTGTCCGTGGGGACACAGGGCGGGGGACACAGGGCTCAGCTGTGTCCCCAACCTGCCCCGTGTCCCCCCTGCCCTCCCACCGCCACCCCTGCTTGGGGGGGACATCTCCACCAGCTCCAAACTGCCCCAAATTCCCCGCAGGAGGGGCCAGGAGCCCCTCGAGAGCCGCGGCCACACAACTCCTGTAATTTGGCTCCATTTCAGGCAGATTTTGGGGGGACACAGCCCCAGCCCCTGACCCTGCACCCCCCAGCCCTTCTGGGTTGATTTCCCAGGATTTGGGAGAGCCGGAGGTTCTGGATGGAAGCGTCTCCCCCAAAGCAGGGACACCCCAAAGCGGAGCAGCAGAACCGATCAATGTTCAGCCTGTTTATAAACGGGGGCACAACCAAAAAACCGGCAGAATTTATAAATAAAGCCAGGCCGGGGGGATGGGGGGCCGGGGGGGGTCCCCAACCCCTCCTGGGGTCCCCCTGCCCCCTGTCCATGAATGGGGGGACCCGGGCCCGAGTCCTGTCCCGCTGGGATGGCGCGCAGGGCGCTGGGTCACTGCGGAGCGTGACAAGGCAGGACATCCCCGGGCTCCTGCACGTCCTTGGCACCTTCCTCATCCTCATCCTCCTCCTCTTCCTCCTCCTCCTCCTTCTCCTCCATTCGCTGGGTTCCCCCAGGGCTTCGCTGGGCTCCCAATCCTGGGGGGGCAGCACAGAGCGTCCCCCTCAGTGTCCCTCTGTCCCTCGGTGTCCCTCGGTGGATCCGGCGCTGCTGGTGGCACTGTCACATCATGGGGGTCCTGGGGATGGCGTCCTGCGGGTGTGGCTGGTACCAGGCCCCGAAGGTGTTGAGGTAGCCCCCGGGGGCCAGCGGGGGTCCCTTGCCGGGCCCGGGGAGGTCCCAGAGCGGGGGGAGGCTGGGGGAGCAGGGGGACAGGGCGGGGGTGCTTTGGGGGGGCTGCTCCCCGTCGGGGACACTCGGGCCCTGCTTCAGGATCTTCTTGTACTTGGAGCGCTTGTTCTGGAACCAGATCTTCACCTGCGGGCAGGGACAGGCGGTTGAGGGGGGAGGAAGAGCCCAACACCCCCTAAACCCCTCCTGGAACAATTACAGCCCCCCCCGGACGCCCCCTTGCCCCCATTCCTGCGGGGGTTTGGGGATAAGGGGCGCTGGGAGCCCAACCCTTCACAAGCGGCGGGGGGAGGATGTGGGGAGAGGTCCCGGGAATCCCCACAGAGTCTCCAGGAGTGTCCCCGGAGTGTCCCAAGAGTGTCCCAGGAGTGTCCCCAGGTCCCCCAGCCCGTGGCAGCCCCCGCCGCTGTCGG